TTGGAACAAGCTGAATGTCCAACACACACACACGGAAAAAAAACCCCACAACTTGGGAGCCATTGATCTGGGAAGACAAGAATGCTTAGGGGAACTTGTGAAAACAGGAGGGTCTTTACAGGCTTTCTGCCTACCTGCAAAACAGGTGCCGATCAACTGTGATGGAAGATGATTCCAGAAGTGCAGAGTTACCACTCCAAATGCCCTCTCCTATTCTCACTGGCCCAACTGCCCTTGCTAGCAGGCAAGGAAGAAGGGCTTGGTTTTACATGTACATACTATGCAAATCTCCTTTCCTCTTGTGCACAGGTAGTGCTATTCCGCCTACACAAGCAGAGGCACTCAATTGCCTAAATATCAGATATAACGGATTTCTGTATATGCATTTCCTGCAACTGAAACCCTTTGCATCCCAGATACCCAGAAGACTTGAAGAAAGCCATCCCTGGACTGGAGTTTGAGGAAACTTTTCACAAGGCTTGCCCGCCAAGAGCTCTTACCTTTTCAGCACCAGATGAAGATGCCTCTCCTGCCACCACCAGAACAAGATCTGTAGTCTGGCCGAATACATTGCATCTGCTTTGCCGAGTTTCTGTTGATTTTCCCCTGCACTCACCCCATGCTGCTGTTCTGCTTTGTATTTTATGGCAGTTTTGAAACAATGCTTTTACTAATCTCTTCCATGCCTCCCAGTTCCACTGACGGGCAGCTAGAATATCTTTGAAACCAACAGATCAGATTTCAATGGCTAGCACCAGTGAATTGCAGTATTTTTGTTATTTCAGTATTTGCCATCAGGCGGCGCTATTCCCTTGCTGAACTCCTTCTAAGGAAGTTTCTGTTTGTAAATGTCATCTCTCCCTGAAGCAACTGAAATTGCCCAGCTGTGGGCAATTGCCCAGGTGTGAGCAATTACACAGGCCCCAGTTCTCCAGGTGTAGGCTGTGATTCGTCTGATCCTTTGGTGGCCTTTGGCCTAAGTGGTGGGATGTTATATTCCAAAGCTTTGTTGGGCACTAATGTCTGTCCCAGAAACTGGCAACCAATTAAGGTGTCAGCCTGTTCAATATGACAAAGAAATGTTCTCACAGAGGTACTTGTCTCAAACAGACAATTACATCAATTCAACAGGCCTATTTTGGGTTCTCATTGAGATGCCAACTGCAAATAGCTTTAGGTGCTTTTAGCAGGTGGGGCTGGGAGAAGCATTAGTGCATCTCTGGCTAGCAGGAGTGAGCATCAAGCAAAAACACATCGGAACAGCTTTTGCCGAGAGAAGGATGTGGACAGGATTTGAGAGGATGTATGTCAACAAGAAGAGCAAACAACTGTGTAGTTCCACCTTCTCAGAAGTTACAACTGCACCGCATCCATCAAGAGGCCCAAGTCAATCAGCAGAACAGGCCTCTAAGTAACACTGATCATGTTTTAAACAATATTTAAACACTACATCTCCATTTTTAACTAACCTCCATTATAGCATTTGTGGTAGACCTGATTGAGGACTGAGATGGGAATGCCATTTACCTCCAAAAAGAGAATAGCTTCCCAGCTGGGTGTGATGGAGCTGGGGGTGGGGGAAAAAGTGACGGACTTACCTTCCCACCCAGTCAGCAAGGTTGTTAAATGATTGGGAGAAAGCTGGGAGCAGGGAGACAGCAGGGAGAAAGTACTAAACTCAAGAAGCTTTCTGGGCCAAGATCAAGCTGCCAAGATGCATTAATCCCAACAACCCTGCAAGGCAGATCAGTGTGATCTTCTGCAAAGTGCAGAGGAAGGGCTGACACTGAGAGACACCAGCTTGCCAAAGGATGCTGATGAGAGCCAGAGAGCAAGGGGAGCCAACAAGGGTTTGGCAGTGGAGTGGTAGTGGAAGAGGAGACAATGGCGGGGGCAAAGGGACGGAGCGTCTGGAGTGGCCCAGCAGACGGCCTCTTCCAAGAGGTCCCGTGCTCCCGAGAGCTGCAACTGAAAGGGAGTGGCCTGACTAGTATCAGTGATGCAGATTATCCTTAAGGGGACCAAGCTAGGCAGACACTGTGGGTTCCAAATCCAATCTGACTTTTCCCTCCACAGGTTTGCACAGTTCATGCTGCTGCACCACTTGCAGGTGCGTAGTTTGTCTACAGCAGCCTTCCTCAACCTGGTGGCCTTGAGAGGCATCTGGACCTCAACTCCCATCCAGCAGGGCCATTGGCTGGGAATTCTGGGTGTCGCAGTCCAAACATGTCTGCAAAACACAAGTTTGGGGAAGGCTGGTCTAGAGGGCACAGGAACATAAAAGGAGGCATGCTGGGTTAGGCAAAAGATCCCCTCGAGTCCAGCAACTTCTCACTGTGGACCCAGAGAAAACCCAACGGAAAGGCAGTGAATTAGTGCAGCTGCAACTTCCTGTTCATGTTCCCCAGCAAGTAATACTCCGAGACTGGCGGTGTGCAGCCATCACATGGTCGGTAGCTGTCAATAGCCTCAAGTATCAAGAGGCTACACATTCTACGCTCTGTAGAGCACTCTACATTTTGCCATCCCCTCCTTTCTTTTTGCAGCCCCGAGTTTAGGCCCTTCTCGCATCGAGAACTTTCTCAAGGGCAGGAGCACAGCAGCTAACTCGTTCCAAAATCCCAACTGTCAGCCGCATTGCTTTGGCTGTCATTCAGGCAGCTTTTGCAGAGCTGCATAAGGTCACATTCCTATGGCAAGAAAGTGCACATGGAGAAGGGCCTCCTTTTGGGTCAGAAGAAACATCAGCATGAGTCCCTGGGACGAGTGGAGACAAAAAAGTCACAGCAATTTTTTAAAAAAAGAAACCAGGACACACACTGCACATGAAAGATGATGCCTCGTGCAGGAAAGGCCGCAGAATGCACAGGACAGGCATGGGGGCATTGGGACCCCTCCAGCAGCACAGGCAACGCCATCTGGGGCCTGTACAAATGACAAGCATCAAGTGAAGAGTACCATCCTTCGGTGAGCTTGCTTGCTTGCACTGATGGTGACTTGCTCCATTAGAAAATACTGGCTCAATGGCTTTTTAGGGTAGCAATTTCTTCGCCCACTCCAGCATCATTCCCACAGTTGCTTGGAAGAGTTACTAAGTTTTTTCCATATTGCATTTGAAAGCTCAGCCTATATTTGGTTTGCTCAACATGGACAACATGGCAGTTTTGTCTTTGTGTATTTATTGTTCTTTATGCTCCGTCAATGTACTTTGCATACCTTGCTTGTTTAATCTAATCACTTACTGCAATAAACAGACTGAAAGCGAGATTTCTTCAATAAACATGGACAGATAGCTAGGCCTACCCTTCCCTCCCATGCTCAGGTGGAGACCCAAGAAGGGATTGTCAAATCAGTCCATGTCATATTTGCATAGATCAGTCCTAGATCCATTCAATTCTTGCATTAACTGCTTTAATAGTTACATCTAAAAAGCCACCTAAAAACTGTATTTATGCAACCTGTCCTAATAAACTATACATTAAAAAATATGTATTAGAGCCAAGAATAGCACTGCATAGTTCTGAGACGTGCTTCAATCCATCTAACAGTCTAGCTAGGAAATGCCAGTGAGGACGATTTGCTTCAAAATGTGAACCAAACAAAATTCTTCCTCCTAAGATGGAGCAGCAGATGCTTAGTATGATGACCAGTGAATAGAGACAACAGTAATTGGCCCGGATCCCACATGGCTTCTCAGTTCCTGCAATGGAGGTGAGAGATTTCTGCCAGTTGCCCCAATCCAGCCGCACATCTCTTGGAATTCCCGAGGGTCCCCAAACACCCATATTCAGTGGGTGCAAATGGCTGCTGAAGAGTGAAGGCACCCCGACCAGGGAATACATGAAGCTAGATGGAAGCAAAAGCCCATCAATTCTCGCTCCTGTTCCCAGTGACCAACCAGATGCCCCATGTGAAGCCCACAAGCAGCACGAGTGCACTCGCTGTAGGCTGAGGTACAGTGCCCCTCCCCATCATGCATTGCAGTAGCCTAAACTTGTTACCACTAAAACATGGGTAACTTGCCAAATGAGATACCCCAGTTCACAATTTGTAGGGACAGAGCTATGGTTGCACAGTACCTTCAGGAGATTTAAGAATTTGAATGCCATCTAGTGGTGCAATCAAACTCTGCACGTCGAACAGCAAAGAAATTTCTTACCTCCCCTGGCCCATTCAATTTGCCCAATCCAATATTCCTTTACAATTAAAAGGCAATTTTTGATTTTTTTTAATATTAAGGAGGTGAAGGAACATGTTGCACAATGAAGATAGTATCATACTGAGAAACACTTGTGGCAAAATAGTGGTGCAAAGCATTGTTAGTGATATGTGCCATTAATCCAACATGTCTCTATTCAGAGTGTTCTGGTAAGTGCAACCCAAGGCAACACTTCATACATCTGACTTGCAACAAACTTGTCAACCTTCTAAGGTAACACAAGACTTTGTTTTCCCGTTGAAATGAGCATCTTTTGGAATAAACTCACAGGGACTGCTTTGCATCGTGTTTGAGTCCAGCTGCTACTGTATGTAACTGTTTAGAAGCTCCTGTACCTTCCGGCATTTGGCACGTACACTGTTAATCCACTGATACAATACGGAATACATGTTAAAGACTGCAAAATCCTGACCACACAAATGCAGCCTTGGTGTGGCCTTCCGAAGCCAGCTACCGCAGAACACTCCGCCGCACCCCGTCAGAGCACGACGTCTAAAAGCAGCTGGCCCTTCATAAATCACCAACCCAGAGAATGCAACAGGAATCTCCTGCACTCCCTTTGGTTCACAAGGGAATGTGAGTAACAGTGCTGCCAATCTCACTTCTATCCCATTCTTCTTCCAAAGAATGGGCCGCTTGATGTACAGTTTCTAGGCAGCCTCTCATCCAGGTACTTCCCTGCGACACACCGGCTGAGTTTCAGCAGCAGAGCTGCACTGTGTATTTTCCACCTGCTCCCTGGCCAGAAACAGACAGACTCTTGGAAAAGACCACAGCACACTCACTTTGCACAAGTGTTTATTAAAAGGGAAATCAACCATTTACAAGGCAGAGCAAGCGAACAAAATCAAGGGCATTTAGATTTTCCAATGAATTCTTATGTCTTTGCTGTATTTACTATACCCACCTGGTAATTTGGTAAACATACAGTGTGGAATGAATTAACAACAATTCCACTGGAACACGTTCTGTCTTTCAAGATGAACAGTCACAATCTAGATCCTTTTTGCATCACCAATTCTTGTACATAGACACCTCACAGATGCCCAAAATGAAACAAAAACAGCACACAAAAAAGTTGAGACCCAAAGGCAGTTAACGCTATATTCTGGTTTCTCTTCAGTCTATGCCTGACAGTGCCCATTGCTGCGGGAGTGCTCATTCCTACCCTTGTTCTGAAGGAAGACCCAGAAAGAAAAGCCGAACTCCATAGGCATGGATGCTCTTGCATAATTCACAACTCTGCACAATTGAGGTTCCAGATTTGTGTGTGTATAAAGCAGCCCCACCCTCATTTTAGACCTTTTCTCCAGTTCATGTGATGCTAGGGCCACTGAATGTAGACACATTCTGTCCTTCCACCTGATGGTAACATCAGAAGTGCACATACACCTAAGAGGCTGGGGATTCAAAGCTTTCACCTTTAACTACTGTAAGGCACGTACCTCACTTTTTCTAGGGGTGATCTGCACATTTAGAAGAAGAACAGTGAGAAACATGCCACTTAAGCATATGGATGGATAGAACAGCTTTCAGTGCTGCCCACATCCAAAAACTACTTGCCTGGGGAGTCAGAAGAATCCTTCTTACCTGCATTACCTTTCTACATATGGGGAAAGGGTCAAATGTTTTGTTTGTATTTTCAATGGAAATTCAAACATATACAAGATGCCCTGCAGATTTAATTGCCTCCACCATTATCTCGTAGCTACTATTATTCTCATAAGAAACAGACTGAGAGGTTGGAGTGGCCTAAGGCCACCAGGGGCACCTTGTCTAGGTGGGATTCAACTGAATCCCTAGGGTTCCATTCATCACTCTAGCCATACTTGGCTATGACTGAATGATACGGTGCACACAACTGCAGCTGTGCAATGTGTACACGTACACGTGGAGACAGGCAAGAAGCAAATACCCCATGTCACGCTTGGCTAGACATTGCCCAGTGCAGGAACGGTTAACGCTAGTCCTTAGACACTGTCAACGCCAGGTTCTGGGGGACACTTGGACAAAATGTGCCAGCTCCCACTCTCCAAGGAGCCCCGCTTCTCAGATTGCTACTGTCCATCTGGGCCCAGTCAACCTCAGCACTTAAGGAGGACAAGGGGAGCAAAGGCTTTTCCTGCCATTACCCACCTGCCTACTTGAAGAAGGCAGGTAGCTGCTGCAATAGCAGGATGTCTCAACATGGTCAGGAAGCACTGAAAGCTGGTAGTGGATCCACTGCGGGAGCCTCAGCACATGCTCTGTGATGCCTCCCCTGACACTCCTTTCCTCCTTATAGCCAGGAATCTGGATTGTGTATGGACTTTTCCTTGGCCCTGGGTCGTGTCAACCCTTATGGTGCTACGGTGGGATGGAAGAGGACACCCTTCAAGTACTCAACCAAGCAGGCTAACTTACCCCCGTTTGTCTTTCCAGGTCTAGGTGATGTCATCAAGCTGGTCTTGCCATGATCACAGAGCCACCAGAAGGAGTGTGCCACACAGTATCCCCAGAGGGGCCTTTCTGGTTTCCTCACATGACACTTCTGAAATGTCAGGGTTTCACAGCATAAGCAAGACATTGGCATTACAGAAACAAACCTGATCTTCATCAACAATACAAAGATAAGAATTTCAATGCCACTTATCTTTTATAAAGCTTAAAGCACACAAAGACATCATACCTTTTGCTTTTTACTCTTCAACCATCAATTTAATTATTTTCCATACAGGTTAGGAAGGCTAAATAAAGTACACTGATTCTGACTTGACAGATAACAAAGGGAAATCCCAAAACATAAGTTATCTTTAACCCAGGCCCAGAATGGGTGAACTTCAAGTATAAATACTATTTCCCAAAATTAGCAGTGCAACCTTCTAAATGCAGTGGATATAAAGCAGTGTAGCAAAATTAGCTTTTGTGGGGAAAGGTCAGGTTCAATACCATTAAATAACACTCTGCAATGAGATCTTTCATTTTCTGAAAATTTGGTGTGTTCATTTGAGAGGAGGAAAAACAGACACATCACAGGTAGAAAGCAAGATTGGCACCATGTTACTCTAAGCCTAAGTGAAATTGTCTTTGCTCCGTATAAGCACCTTCAGGTGCTTAGGAAAGCTTTACCATACTGGCTAGGCTCACTTTCCAGGTAGATCCACTGTGTATAGCGAACAAAATGCTACCTAACACACTTAAGGGATGACCCACGGCTCAGGGGTAGAGCATCTGCTTTGAAGGCAGAAGAGGTTGGGCTGAGTTCCTGGAATCTTCATGCAGGGCCAGAAGAACTCCTTCCTGAGACCATGATGACACTACTGGGCCAGGTGGAAGAAGGACCTGCCTCAGGCTAAGGAAGCTTTCCACAATCCTAGATGCTGTTTGAGCTACCATAGGTGGGGATGGGGCACTCTGTCTTTTTCCACGTCATATAAACCAGCCTTCCTCAACCTGGTGCCTTCAGAGATATTTAGATCACAACTCCCAGAATTCCCATCCAGTAGGGTCACTGATTGGGAATTCTGGATGTTGCCATCAAAACGTGTCTGGAAAGCACAAGCTTAGGGAAAGCTAATATAAACTACCCATTTTCTCTATACAGATTACATATATAGCTATTAAGAAACCCTGGAATTTTCTATTGTGTCCTTCCACTTTGCAAAAGAGTTTGTAAGTCCTACTTTGTTCTGTACAGGTATCAAAGCTAACAAGAGCTTAGGTGGTACAGATTTCAAACAAGCAAGCCTGAGCACTGACACGTTTTAAAACATTTTTTTGGAAGAGATAGGTGGGCACAGTCAAAGAACAACTGAAGGAAGGAAGGAAGATAATTACCTTCAATTACTAGACAAAATTTATACTAGATTTGTTTCAACAGCAAGCTGTGGATCACTTCATTGATTGTTCCATTCTCCATCAATACATAGCACCAGACAAATGAAATAAAGCATGATTGACCCCTTTAAAACAAGCTAGACAGCACTGTGGATTGTGAGGCTGTATTATCCACTAAACATTAAGCATGCACTTAAACCCCTCTGCCAAAGCAATTATGTAAGCAACACCTTGAACAAGGCCCAGATGTTAATTTTTTTTTTACAAAAATGGAGCACTTTGCACTAATGATCAAGCATCTCCCAAAAAGCATCAAGTATAGTAAAAAGACTTACACATATTCTCTTTCTTTAAAAATTAAAATTGCACCTTAACCTAAATTCTAGGCCATATGTTAGGCAAACAAGAATAGTTTATTTTTCTAACTACAAGGCGAAAAGCTAGAGAGGGCACAAAATCTCACACCTTGGGCATTAGAACTTTCATCCAGCAAACTCTTTTGAAATTTTACCTGGTATTGCTTGTGCACTCTTAAGTATCTCTTTGCTGTCACAAGGCAGCCCTCCCTAGGTAACTTCTAGTCCTGTTGAACTACAGCATGCTAGCTGGGGAGCATGGAAGTGGTAGTCCAAGTCATAGGAACAGCAACAATTTGAAGAAACTGTCATAAGGGCTGGAAACTTTCTTTTTTAACACTCAAGAGCTTTTCAGGTAATTGAATTCAGATAATTGAATTACACACCCACGATTATACACTTTTCAGTATTATGGATAGCATTCCCAATATGCACACAGCCCTAATAACAGATTACAAAAGAGTCGTTCTCCCTTGAAACGCCTCTTAATATATTGCTCTGGCATAAATGATCAGACAGCATAAGGCAGAACTATCATCATTTTATACAGAGGCCAGGTTTTTACCTAGTACAAAAGAGAAGTGGCAATCCTGGAACACACTGGCTGTCACTGGATTCCTGCCTATTCCACTCTAATACTTTCATCCCACTTAAATGCAAATATAATGCTGAACATCTGTATACCATACAAATCCACACCAAAGCAAGATGTAAGACAAATTCATGAAAGTGCTGAAAAAGCGTACACATTTTCCTTACCTGCAAATGTTGGTCTGGGACTTGTCCATATCTGCAAGACATTTACATGAGTAGCACCTTGTGGGCCTCTCTTTCATTGCATGTTAACTGCTGACAAAAGTTGGAATTTGTTTTCTGATTTTTAAAACATTTCTATTATTGTTCAAGTGAGAAGAATTTTTAATTTTTGGTACATGTGTAAAGTCAGAACCTTTTACCTTTATTTGAAAATTCCTTCCCACCAGCATAGCTTTGCAATGTACTCTCATATCCCCAAGTGCTGACCAATGCCGAAGAGGGGGGAGCCGCATCAGCCACCATTCAGCTATGTCAGTGTAAACTTCTGCTTTTAGCATGAGGGACTGGAAAAAAACAAACTGAGAGTTTTTTCTGAATTTCCCACTCACGTGAAGGATCAGGAAAAAAAGGGAAAAGTTTTTCCTCCATCCCTACCCTTGTCATGGCCTTTCTTTTTTTGGGGGGGGAGGGGGTCTTACTGAAAAAAATGACCAATTCTGGAAAATGATGAGCAGCATGTTTAAGACAGGATATTCATGTATTGCTACCTGGCCTTTACTGCACTAAGATGATTTCTAACAGGAAGAGAACTAAAGATGCAAAATTTCTGGAAACACAGAAGCCCCGCAGGGCAGCTGTCGGGGCGGAGGCGGGATTGTTAATTTCTCTCTGTAAGATTTCCCAGCATTGTTAGAAGTATTGCTCTAATGCAGCTTTTGTTTAAAAAAATTTAAGAATGTTCCAGGTTGTGCCCAGTTTTTCAACATGTGACTAGTAGACTCATCATTATCACAGCAAATGAAGAAAGGGTGAACCCTTCATAATTTAGGTTTTGCCCCCAAGAGTTGAGATTGTCCTGCATGGATGCTATAGCAGTCAGTGAATGTGGCTTTAAAGCCCACTTCTAAAAAAACTGTACATTGTCCTAACCATTACCACAACATGAATGTTCCTAAATTTATTTTTAAACAATACTTTGAAGTTTGTGACTATGGGGCTCATGGTTAGTTTCCAATCAAGTTCTTAGCTGGACAATAACGAGGACTGTTGCATGGGACCACTGATTTCCCATTATCATTAAGCTTGCCATTCAGTGCAAAGTTCTGGTTCAAATGCTATCACAAACCTAGTTTTGAAATAATCAGTGGAGAGAAGGGATCTATGACGGCTAGGAATAGTAATAACGTACCAAGAGCACTGCTGGAACAGACCAGAAGTCCATTTATTCCAGCATCCTGTTTTCTCAGTGTAGACAACCAAATGCTTCTTGAATAGGTCCACAGGTAGGATAATGGTGGAAATGTTTTTCTGCAGTTCTTGCTCTTTCTACAACTGGTATTCCATAGCATGTTACCTTTGAATATGGAAGTCCCATTTAGGCCCTTTGTGAAGATGTAATTTATTTTATCTGCCCTGAATATTGTGTCAGTTTCATTGGACATGTCCTTGTTCTAATATTATTTGGGTGAAGAGGAATCAAACATGTAACATGCCCAATTTCACAAACATGTAACATGCCCATGCATTTCCTATGAATAAACATAATTGTGCTTGCTTTTTTTTTTTCATTCTGCCTACCTTTACAGGGTGCCAATGAACTGGTTCATATGTAGGTTGGGAGACCTGTAAATTATGAATTGTTAACCATGAACAATCTTTGAACAGAACTTATGGTTTATTGTTAGTTTGTAAATTCTGGATCATTTAAGCCATGAATGGTTGGTACATGTGAACCAAGAACTGTAGGTTGCTCATGGTTGTTTCACCAGGCCACAGGCAAGAGTGATTTAAAAAAAAAAACAGACACTGTACACATCAGTATTATAAGTGCTACAAAGAAAAAGAAGTTTAAAAAGGTCTAGGGACCCACAAAATTCCTCTTCTCACATCCTATAAAATAATGTCTTATGTTCCAGTATCAAACATGAGGAACTTACAGGCACACACCTCTGTACACTTACGTTAGTTGAAGAGCCACTGATCCTACAGGAACGTGTTTAGCCCATTTTAAAGCCTGTGGTAATATACCCTGTAATTCAGGCTCGTCCCAGTCTAATTCTACTGCTAGTCAATTTTAATGCCTGCAAAGTGCAAAGACTGCTAAAGGTTAGCAGATTCTGGCGTACTTGAGAATACAGTGCATGCAATTCAAACAGTTTGCACCTGCTCTGCTCCTCTGGTGAGCACAAGCAGCAAAACCAATCTGAACTCCTAAGTTTACATTCAAAACTTTGATCCTGGCTTGCTGTACCCTTTACAAGTCAAAATGTTAAATCAAAGTGCATTCTTGCCTTCCAAATCCTGGCTCATGAAGAGGGTAATAAACCCCAATTCCAGGTTTAAATGTCGCAATTTTGTATTTCTGGGAGAGGCCAGAAAGGAGCAAATAGGCTCTAGCTGACAGTAGGCCAGGATTTGCATACTGTGGCAAATGAGGCCATTAAAATTCTAGTAATGAATTCTGGAATGAGTTCTAGTGATGAAAGCTTCTCTTTAATATCATTCGTAAATGGACAGAACTTGTAGAAAATTAAAATTTTACTGGGTCTTTCCTAAGTCATCTTTTTTCTAGAAAACTATTTAGCCTTTCCTTATATTGTATTAGGCTGTAATTCCATACCCACTAAATAGGAAGTAAGTCCCACTGATTTCAAAGGGACTTATTTCTGAGTTGATATATGTAAAATTGTACTGCTAAATGTAGTTCTTAATTCTATGATATACTTTTTTAAAGAAGAATAACTGAAATATACACTACTGCAAAGTGAGGCTTATAGTGCATACACCAATTTTGTTGGGGAAGAGAAAGAGAGACACACCTTTGCAATTCTTTGCAACCTGTTTAACATAGAATACTTCCACAGAGAAATGCACAAACCTCTTCATTTAAATTGCTTATATTAATTAAAAGTTTGCTTCTAAAGATGTACACCTGGATACCTTTGTTTACTTTCTTCCTTCTAGCCCTAGTGCTATGTTTGTTCATTTCTTGCCTGCATGTAATTCCTTTCCTCAAATGCTCACTCCATTTTCCCCTTAAAATGAGAGGAGAGGCAAGACTGTATGGCACAAAACCCTGAAATAAAATGGAAAAAATATTTTTTCTATTCACATGCCCTTCTATGAATAACAGTCTATTCCTAAGGAATGCTTAGAGGCAGAATATGTATACCAGTGTTAAAGGACATGTCTCTTCCATTAGCAGAGCAGAGGGACTATTTCCAGAATGATTGACATTCTAGAAAGTTGGTCTAGATTAGGCAGTGGGAAAACCTGAGAGGATTCTTTCACATGAAGAATATCAGCGGTGCAAACACAAATCAACGAGAAGTAAGTATGGCTACACCACTATTCCTAGTAAGTGGAGGGGGTCCTCTTATTTTAGTTCATAATATATTTATCTTCTCCTTTTTGATACTTTATGTAACCAAGTGCTGAACACAAGCCATTTTACATGTAACGTACTGCGGCTCTGTACATATTTTAATGGTTCTGTAACTGTTTTTCATAACTACTATTAAAGGAAAATAGTATAAGACTTTGACCAAGAGCCAATCCATGAATAGTATTTTATTAGTTGCCTGAAAAGGCTACTAATTTTATTTTCCTCAAATAAATTATGCTTCATGGCAGACTGCTTTTCAAATTTGCTGCAGGTATTTTCCGAAGCAGCTAGTAATATGGAATGGGAGGTCAGATACTCAAATAAAAGAGTCAAGTATTCCATTGGAACATTGCAAAGCCCTTACAAGAGCGTAAGCAATTCTTTGGACTGCAGCCAGTTTTAGTGCAACCAGCACAAACCAATCCTGTTGTAAATGTAGTCCTTCCAGATGGTGCATATTTGGGGAAACGTACCTAGTGGAGAAACATGAAGCAATACTTGTTACTTACTGGCCATTATCCATAAAATGCCCACAAACTACAGACTGACTCTTGAACAAAAGGAAAGCATACGGCACTACTCTTCCCTGTTTCAGACCAATTGCCCACCCAGTCCAGTACCATGTATTCTCCAATTGCAGCAAGTGGGACGGACATGGCTTTCCCAGCTCAACTGAAATCTTTTTAGCTAAAGGTGCCAGGGAGTGAAACTGAAATTTCTGCAAGGAAATACAATTTTCATAGTGATTAGTTCAAGAAGCACAATTTACTGAGAATCCATCTGTTCTGAATTAAGAAAAAATATAAAAACACGTCTGGGGAAGACCTAAGTGTACATTGCAGTGGCTGGCAAAAAGCATACCATTTGTGTACATTTAAGAAGGAGTGGGCAGATGGTAGATCAGAATCTAGAGATCGGTCTTTGGATGACTTGAGGTAGATCTGAAAAGATTTCTAATTCTCAGTTCTTTGAAAGCAGCAACCAAAAGCCTGCCAAGACTTGCTACTGGGGTGCTGAAATAAACAAAGCTGGAGGAAGGGCATGACTAAACACAGGTTCTGTTGGTGAAAGGGCTACAAGTTCAATTCTAAGGCAGAAGACAAATCCCCGGTCTGAGCCATATATGCAGAGGTAGCTATTTTGTACCCGACTCCACCTAGTGGGCCTTCAGGTTCTAGTAAGAACCCTAAGCTGATCTCAGATGCCTGAAGATGGCCCATCCCTGCATTAAGGGCCCCACATTCCATCTCCAGTTAAAACAATTTAGGTACCCAGAAAAGAAGAAACAGAATAGGCCAGCATTTTGCAACTGGGTGCGTTCCAGATTTTTTTAATTACAATTCCCAACATTCCTGACTGTTGCCCATGCAGTTTGAGGCTGATGCCCAAAACATCTGAAGGCATCAGGCCAATGAAGGTTGAAATAGGCAACACTGAACTGAATGATCCAATATTCTGATTCTCTATCGGGCCATTTTATGTGCTCTTCTCCAGACTGCTGTACTCAAAGTACTAAAACACTGCAAAGACTTCTCTAAAAATATTTTTATTTATTTATATGTGTATATAGTTCTCCATTCCCATAGGCTTTGGGTCATTTACAAGAGACGAAAACCAAAAACAGGTAAAATTTCAAATAAAACAGATTAAATAAAAACTAATCTGGAAATGCCAGTCCCAAGAGATACTTCTCTAGCTCCCTCTTAAAGGTAGCAATTTGGAGTATCTGACATCTCTCTCCCAGTAGGCCATTCCATAGTTTAGGGGTAACCACTGAGAAAGTCTTCTCACACAGAGAAATACCCTCTATTTGATAATTTTAGGGGAAGCCAACTGAAGTTAACAGAAATAGGGGAGACTTAACAGCATATTTGTTCCCATGTATAGCCCAGTCAAATAGTTCAAAGCAGGAAAAAACAGCTTTTCTATACACAGCCCCTCTCCCCAATTAATCTAACTCGATCACCTTTAAATTGTTTACCTTTAAATTCCAGTGGATTCCTTTGAGTTGCTGATCTCTTCCTCGCCAAAGGATCAGTTCTTTTAACCAGCTGGACACCACGTACTATGGTGTTTTCTGCAAATTCTTCCACAGTTGAAACTGACTGTATAAACACATCTCAATTGACAAAGCTAATCATTACTAGAAAGTGTTCTTACAAACAAAGAAAACAGGAGCTGGATGTACATTTTATACCACCAAAATTCAACATTGCTGGCCAAGATGGATCAAATACACAGATGCTCAGGGGCAAGAATGAAAAAGATAGGTCTTTTTATGAGATACTAGAAAATTTAAGTAATGTTTCAAAGAAACATAAGCTGTAAAATGGGCAACACTTGTCCAGAAGATCAACTGACATAATTCTGCCAAAAACCTGCTTTGCATGATTATACAACTCATTATAATTAAGTAGCCACAGGAGGATGTCTTGCTGTCTGAAGCAGACCGCTTTCCTGACAATGACATATATTCCAGCAACTGACAACCCAAGATATTCTCGGGAGTCATTGACCCATGATGCTACCATATTATCAAAACCCAGGAGTACAATTTCATCAGGAATTGCAGTGATCTGCTGGCATGCTACTTGGCAAGAGCAGCAAAACCTTTACATTTCACTTTTGTCTTTGCCAGGGAGAACCTGCTCTCAGTGCTCAAGCAGCACTTTGGCATGATCAGCACTGCTTCACCACCCTCTTTGAAGTTTCATTTTGGCCCCCCAAAATTTCACGTGTTCGGAATTGGGTGGAGGGATCAGTCTTTCACAAGTGCACTTGGACTCAGCAAGACCATGTGAAGCAGCTGCACATCTCCTTCGTTTCAGCTTTCAAAGGGAAGGAAGTAGCAAATATGGGTGGCAACTGACAAGGCAAGCCTGCATATAGGCTAATTTCTGCCCAGTTGCCAGGGACGGATTGCTGAGTTAATTGAAAAACCCCCAAAAGAGAGGTGAGTGATCCAAAAAGGACCCACAAAAAAGGAGGGGAACCTTTATCTCACCTTTCTGGAATAACTGTAGACTCAGGAAATGTTGCAAAGGCAGAGGGCACCAAGTGCAACAAATAAAAGGGGCATGATTACAATCCCAAAGCAAGATATCCTTTCGATACACCTGTTTTCCCCCCTTTCAGTGATTTTCTGAAAACTCAGCAATTGGTCTCCAGCAACTGTGTACAATTTAGTCTATGTGCAGCCTCACTGGGTCAGTTTCCATGAATGTTATCTACTCCACTTTGCTGGCTTCCTTTGACAGTTGACACATTTAAGAAAAGTGATCAGCAAAAATATACATATCAGACAGCTGTTAAGAACACAGTTTCAAAAGACAAGTAAATAAATCAGACGTTTTCTGGGGCCATGAAGTGGGGAAGTAATAACCTCCACTACAAAGTTTTGAGACTCTGAAAATGAAGAAAGAGAAGCATCAAATGAAGAACGGCAGCAACTGCAGTGAGAAGCAGCAGATGGGTTCCACCATGAAGGACACTAGGATACCAAACTGGATGGTGCAAAGCCATGGTGACACGGATGGTCTGTAGGGAGCACTGTGTGCTGATCCATGAACAACCCACACTACATAGCCTGTATGCAGGGGGGATTAGCATGTCATAAAAAGGACACCAACCGATGGGAATGAGGCTAGCTCCCCCCCCCCCCAAAATCTGGTCTTGTGCTCCCCACACTTCTGTCATGGCCATAAGGAAACTGGAAACATCTGCTCCCACATACTAAACTGTGATTAAACGTAACTATGGTTTGTGGAAACAAGTCAATCTTATAGCTCATGGTTTGAAGTTAGCTTGTTTTAAAGCAAACCACCACCTGCAGAACTCCTCTTGTAACTGTACTGGAGTGGGAAAGGAGGAGGCTATGTTTATTTAATTTTTGTCATAGTAAGCCATGTGTTAGTATGATGTTTAAATCCAGCCACTGTGCAGTTATGTTTCTGGACAGCTGTGACTTTTGCAAGGCTATTCTACTCCTCTTATCCAAACCTAACCCCACCCTTCCTTCCTACCCAGACCCCTGCCAACATTCCATATCCCTCCCTCATACATCTTAAGTCTTTTTAAAAGCTGGCTAAACTCCTGATGACCTGCCCCAGAATACAGTTTTATGAAAGGTGAAATAAGTAGAAGTGAAGTTGGAAAGAAAAATTCATTTGAACAATGCTTCTTCAAGAGGAACCCATATTTAGGGCTGGACCTTTGCCAAAGCTAGTGCTAGACGGAGCAGCATGTTACAGGTGATGCTCACTTGGTGCCAGTAGAGACTCCAATGTATGTAGAATAACGTCTGGAAACTGTCAGCATTTCTAGCTGGCCATGTTAGCTGGGGAATGCAGGGAACAGTCGGGCCCTTTTATGCCCAGAATTGTGCTCTGTGCCTACTTGAGAAAGCCAAATATGAAAAAGTCTCACGGAAGCTTTTTCTACAGAGAAGTGAAAAGGCAGACTGAAATTATGTTTAATTTATTTTACCTGTTAAATCTCCCTAATTAAACAAGTTACACAGGATGCCATTTAGCTCCTTTATCTAGTTAACCATTGAGCCGTAGCTGACAAAATTGACCAAGTTAAAAAAGACAGAGTTAACCTCTGTGATATGTGCACTGGAAAACTTACAATTCCTGCAATAAACTCAAGATTATCAAGATAAGCTTTAACTGTATGATTATTCAAAGCAAGAACAAGAGTTTTGGAGTTGAGAGACATATTTTGTCAGTATTTCGTAAGTCTATTCTACATCTCCCTATGAAGCTTGAGAGCCAGGGTGGTGTAGTGGTTAAGAGCATGGGACTGGGACTCAGGCCATCTGGGTTCTAGCCCCTGCTCAGCCATGGAGCCAACTGGGTGACTTTGGGCCAGTCACAGACTCAGCCCGACATACCTCACAGGGTTGTTGTTGTGAGGATAAGATGGAGGAGGAGATGTAAGCTGCCTTGAGCCCTTTGTAGGAAAAAGGCAGGATATAAATCGAAAAATAAATAAAAATAAATAAACTTGTTACCGACCTCAGCCTAACCTATCTTATAGGGCTGTTAAGAGGATCAACTGAATGAAATAAATTAATGAAGCTTTTAAACCCACCAAAGCACATATACATCCAGATCTCCTTAAAAGGAAGGACGACATATAAATGCGATGTTTATTATTTTTATTACCAAGATGTCCACAAGACTGCTTATAACCATCAGAAACTATAAAGAAATTGCCTCATTCATTCTCTGCTAACCTGTATGAGCTTCTCTAAGTAGCACATTCAGAAAGGCTTAAGGAGGAAATTTCTATTCTTACCAGTACTCGCACCTGATTGACTAAAATCTAAGAGCATAGTTATATGAGCAATTAATGACATAAGGAAAAACAAGGAAAGGATGTAGAAAAGCTCCCCCAAAGCTAGCCATAGAATATAATAAAATCCCTAGAGCTGAAATTTTCAAAATGTTAGCCAAGTTACCACATTGGGGCATACAGATATATACTTCCATTTGCTTACTTGATTTATCCAATTTCTAAATTGTCCCACAAAGAGTCAGACTAAGTATCATTCTAAGTTTGTGTTGCTCCTTATATGCAAATTTCTGACATTCTGTAAGATCTAAGTCTCAATACGCTGGAGTGTAAGCAAGGACTAGAAAAGTTTTTACTGTGCAAACTTCCTTTGTTAAAGACAGGTTCCTATAAGTAAAAAAGCAGAACACCTTTTTCTTAGACATTCATATTCCCAGGTATAGTGGGGTGGAAATACAGGAATTAACACCACATTCATCGTGAAAGACTTATCCCTTCCTCTCTCTCCATTCATTCAAAGGAGACTTATTTGTAAGTGTGGATTTCACTTTTAAAAAGAAAGAAAAAAAGGCAGATTGGGTTGAGAACTAGGCTTTTAGTCTAGAATTTGTAGAAGTTTTAAAAAGTAAAGAGAATTTGTAGAAGTATTTTACTGCCTTGATTCCTAAGTAGCATGAAATTTAAAGAAGAAAACCCTTGTTCTGCTATATTCATCATTACCATTATCTTCAGAAGAACTGAATCTATTCTCTTTCTTTTTGTCTAAGGCTCTCTGCAAAGGAGTGAAAGGAAGTTACTGGTGTTATACATACCCCTGTAAAATTTAGTGCACTTAAATCCTTGAGGAACCTAGCAAATCTGCCAATGAGTAGGCATTTAAGGAACAGCTCCTTTGCATTCAGAAATTGCAAACATAAAATACATTTAATATAATGCAAATTAGGGAACCCAGGAAACCAAAGTAGAAACACCGAAGAACCATTTTGCTTAACCTCCTAATCAACAAGATGCATTGCTAGTAGAAAAAAAGCAGTGTTCATTTGTGCCAAAGTGATGTATGGAAAATGTATTGGCATGTTCAGAGAATCCATTTGCAGAGATTTATTAAGCAAGCCAAAATGAAAATGTTGGTCAGATATGATGCCATGTATAAATATCTATGATAAGCTTCAGGTTTTAGGACTCTTAAGAAGAAGTCACTGATACTGAGGTTGCTTCTGTTTTTAATGTTCAACCAGACTCAGGCTGGGTAAGGCTCTTGGTAAGCAGAAGCTGCATCGAGAGTCAGCAATGGTTAGGAAACAGCATCACTCTGAACTGTGTTACAACTTTCTCTTTGCAGCACTCAGCCTTCTTGGATGCAACTTGAGATAGCAGCTGAAAAGTTAGCCACTCTTTCCATGCTACAATAGTCCTTTTAAATCATTTGCCTGAAATTGGAAAATAAGAACAGGAGAAAAAACAGGATGCCCAACCCCTCCTACCAAACAGTTTAACCAAGATTCCCTTTAGACCAGCAAGTTATTGCATATTCATTTAGAAATATGCTTATCTGTTGCCACTGTACCAATTTATTACTCAATTCAAGCAGATATTAAAAACAGATTAAAAATACAAAGCAAAATACCTTTGCTTCTTTTAAATAAATCAAATGAATACACATAACCATGTATAAGGAATCCCATTCATCCCACTTGAGCTTTAATACTGATGTCTGAGCCCCTTAAAACATTCTAATGCCCAAGAACTAGGGACCACCCCACAAAATATTGTTGCAGAAAAGGGCTAGAGACTTGATACTGCTTGCTAGAAACTGGAAATAATTTTCTTAGTCCTGAAGAACAACACTTAATAGAAATCTTCCAGTAAGTAGCATTCTGAATTTAACTAAGGCATTGTTACAGGGTGAAATTTTCGTGAAAGGCTGGTGATAAGACAACTCTTTTGATAACCCAAATTATTAGTTTTTGAGCCAAATATGGAGATACTAAATACACTATGTTCCCTGGAACTAAGAAAGAATATCCCCCTTGCTACACAGGGAATCAGAGTACAATTCATCAAACCACACTTAAGGAGTAAGGGGCAGTGCTGAACCAGTGGAATTTTATTTTGAAAAATGAAAGTGTCAGCTTCCATATCACAAACTGCTTTGGAAATCCCTTATTTCAAAAACTGGTTTCCTAGTTCTAGTCCCATATAAAGGAATTCACAGAAGGATTTTTTTTTGATGTTGCCAAAACAGTAATAGAAAAGGTGGCAAAAAGTCAAAGTCTCAAGCACACTTGCATCACATTCGCATAACATCTTGTATGAAAGGCTTTATTTTAGATTCTTTAGCAACAGCAAGAGCAGCCACCCAGATATTCCAGTATTGCCACAAGGTTGAAATGGGTAAAGCTCACTAAAATAACCGAAGGTAGTAAAGGGGCAGGCTTTAATTTTATGGTACATGGAGTCATGTTCTAAATCATGCACATACTGATTAGAGACTCAAGGTCCATTGACCAAAAAGAAAGTACTGCTGACTTGGAAGCAGTGTTATGCTTAGTTGCATTGAAGTATCAGGTTTCTAGAACTTGGTTGTGCATTTTTATCTATTTTAACTGCAGCAGCGGTCTATTTTTCATATATCTTAAGTAGTAAAAAGGAAAAACAAAGAATAGGTCACCTTTACAAATATGCCCAGAGGGTTAGCTGTGGCATGCTGAAGCTAAAACAACAAAAGAGGTTTATGATACGTTCAGGGCTAAGAAATTTATTTTGGCATAAGCTTCTGTGGACACTGTCTAGTCCATCAGACACATCGGTGTATTATGGAGAGTTTCAAGTGTATATATGGTACATATGATAGGGGTATTTATGTAAACCTGAAACTCTCCATAATATTCCATGCACCTGATGAAGTGAACCACAGTCCATGAAACTTTAGGTCAGAATGTGCATTTTTTAGTCTTAAAAGTGCCACAGGAAGTGCTTATTGTTTTTAAATATTTGGTTGCCATACTGAATGAGGGCCAACTGTTAAAATCAAAAACTCTCATAGTTACAAGTAACTATGTTGTGGATCTAAACTATAAAATTGGATCAAAAGAACCATGGACAGAATCAAAACGGCTACTAGTGTGGCAAGAGTTCATGTAGTACCATAGCAGGTAGGTCCTCAAAGCCGTTTACATGCTTCTGTGTAAAAGTTTGCACAGGTAAATTTATCTTTGAATTTAGTTTCAGCTTTCACAGCAGTGTAAAACCATGAGTGGAATGCAATTTTGAACCCAATTCCGTATGTGCCATTGCAGCTGTGGTCTTACAAAGGTTCTTTATCAATAGGGCATAAGAGCCTTTGAAGAATCTTTACCCCATATCGCTTAGATACAATTCAAATCTCGGCACTTGCTGTCACCTGCAGGATCGCATTCATACTCACCTCTCATATACAGATGCATCCATTAGAATGTTGGGCTTTTGAATGAGAAACCCCAGACAATTAATATTGGTGAAGAGAGGAGAAAGGGCAAGTAGTATAATCCTTCCCACCACCCAGAAGATAGCCCTTTCATCTTATTTCAGAAAAATTAGAAAGAAAGTTTTATCTTACCGATAACTCCAATGGTTACTGTCCCCTGCGAACCCCACCTAGCAAGTCGACATCATGAAATGTCAGGTCAGGGCAGCCTCAACCACGCTTCCCTGATAGTCAGGTAATAAAAGGAAGGAGTTAAAACAGAAGTTACACTTGCAGTTTCTGGATATCATCAGAAAATGTAGTGCAATACATTCTGAACTGTCATTCAGAGCTTCTGGTAACCTCCTTGCAAGGCATTAAAATATTTTTCCAGAAGAAAATTAAGTCAGCCACAGCAATTTGCCATTTTCTAGCAGATACATAGATACTTATCAGATAAACCTTCATTGTGGAATGAAGATTAGAGGCATTAACAGCCTCTTTCTACTGAGGTTCTTCTATTCCAACAGTTGCAAAAAATAATGGTGCACCTTAGTGAGCCAGTCTATATTTAGCAGGATTACACATCAAATTTGCTATCCAAAGCAGCTCAATACTAGCCCTAAGTTAACAGAAGCTCCCATTTTCAAAGAAATGGGAAAATGCAGCCCAGAGATCTTGCCTTAGAATGTTACCAGCTAGCTGTTCATTTCAGTGGCAGAAAGTCTAGTTTTAACACTCTCATGAATACTATTCATGAGAATAGTCCAAATTTAAATCAAAGGATTATGTGCAAGGTTTAAAAAATCTGGCTCATTTGTTAAGAATTGCAAGAACCCAAATCATGCTCGGCCAGGCAAAAAAGCCGTAATGAAGTTCCAAGATTTGCTTGCATAAGTTCTCCAATTATTAGGCCCTAATAACTCTTTTGTACTGTTATCAAAATATTTTCATAGATTTCTTCACTTTGCTCATAATAGCCTTATTACAAGCATGTTTTTAATGTTTAAAATGCAAATGAGTTCAAATAATGGCATACAAATGCAGACAGGGTGAAAATATAATCAGGCTTTGATAAATGAGGCAATCATTCATACAACTGATTATTAAGCTTAGGATCTTCCAATCCTTTTGGATTTTAACAGAAGTTCTAAAGAAAAATGCTGTAAAACATTTTAGCTATTTAAATTAGTATCTTTTGCTAGGAAAAAAGAAACCCTATTGATGGAACTGTACACCTAGAACAATAACTACACCTCTCAAAATGTTTGACAATTTTCTTCACAAGTGAGAATGGTTCTCAGAAATCTGGTTAACTTTGACATATAAAATAACTTGCATTGCAGAAGATCTACATAATTGAGAATTTGTAGAAATCTTTTGACAAATGTTTATGAAGTACCAAAACTCTGGCATTGGTTTGTTTCAAAATCACCTTCGTATCAATAGAGACACTGAAGTAACTGCTATAAATGAGTGATCAAATCTTGAATCCCATTTCATGATTCCTCCCCCACATTGAAGAAAATGCTTGAAAATGTTCTACAACAGGGGTTCCTTACCCCTGAAATGTTTGAATGACCATGGTCAAGACACAGATGAAGAAAATATATTTTGGACTACACTGTGATAATTAGTTATTTGTTAAAAGTTGCACTTAAAAGGAATAAAGCTACCTAAAACTATAATTGTTTATTTAGATTGTGCTCTGTATTTAACTATAGATATTGCATTATGGGGAAACTTTTGTTCTCTTAATAGAATACAGATACCACTTATGTATTTCAACATGCTGTCATCTTTAAAAGAAGAATTTCCCAAAAAAAAAGTCTATCAACAGTTGGGACTTCTAGGTTTCTGTAGTCTAAACTTTGCTACTTGAATGAACTTCCAGAATTTAAAGGTGCAAAGACTACATCTAAATGAAGCATTTTACAAAGTTAGCATTTTGGTAGGAATATCAAGCATGTTACAGGATTTCCCATTAAATGGTAGCACATGCATTAAAATTACGAATTATTTCTAAATTTGGTCATAGAAGTTTTCATATCAATATTAAACTACCTTTTACTGTTGTGAACCCCCTATCATGATTAATAATAGGTAATTTAAAGGCATTTTTCCATCTATGGAAATATCTTAGTGTTAGGTCAAATTTGGTTTCACAGACCAATATGCTATTAAGTTGTGGATTTGAATGCCCAGCCATATCCACCACAATGAATATACCTAACAGCTTAGTGAATTAAATCCTGAAATTTTATTCAGACAAAACCTAGGTTTGTTTGTGTGTATGCATTTTTAAAGACAACCCTAACCCACCCACCCACCCCCATTATCTGGCTGGACTGAAAAATGACTTTGCTACAAATCCATGAAATTATCTTCCTCGCTGACAATAAACAAAAACGTGGGAAAACACTGTGGCACAACAATGTAATTCTTCCAGTCAAAGAATAAAGGAGGTTCAGACAAGCAGCTTATTCTCTGCTAGTGACGTATATTATTTTCACCTGTTCTAATCAATTGCAAACCCATAAAACTTAGGGGCAGACTGTTTATTATGGGTATTGAAATTGGCCAATCCTATCTGCATATTTAAGACTTCCCTCCCTAAGCTACAAATATGCTTCACTGCAGTTTAGTACAGTGCAACAAAAGCAAGCAGGTGAAAAAGCATCATGAACTGAGAGTCAAATGCATGTTAAAAATGGGTAAAAACAGGGTTCATACAAAAAAGTTCTTGATACACCCTGAAGCAATATCCCAAATGTATGGAAATTTGCACTTTAAAACACTCATCAGCAAGTTCAAAATCAAATGTTTTAATCAATTAGTAATCCTGTTTGTTATCTGTAATATAAAGATTTATATTTTCACTATATTTTATTAAAAAAAACTATCACCCATCTCATCTATGTTCAAAGTACAGACTCTAAATATAGTTTTACATTAAAATTGAGCACATACTTGTATGTTCTTTTAGATTTGAGCAATCGAATTGTGCTGAAGTCAATAGATGTTATCGACATTAGTAACATAAAAACGGGTTAAATTTATGGACAGCCTTCCTACACAATACTTATCTCACATCTGACCAAAACGGGCTTGCACAAATGCTCAGATGTACTTGAAGCTGTTAAGAAAGCAACCAATTCCACGTTAAAGGCAACTAGATTAGAGTACCAATTAATAAATTTCATTTTTTCTATGATTAGACCTAGCTCTGACTCACATGCCACCAATGCCAGATGTTGGAAATTGCAAGAAATTTTGCATGAATTTGATCACTCACATAGGCAGTTTTTAAAAAATGCTTCTTGCAATAATGACCAATAAAATAATGTTTTAGGACACAATTGAATTTGAAATAGGTAATGTTTTGAATAGGTTTTTGAGTTTTATTGAAATCTTACATGAACAAGAAGAAATTGGAAATACAATCACATCAAGGAACAAATTGCCACGGATTTGACGTTTAGGCCAAACAAATTTTGTAGGGCAGATTTTCAAAAAGGTGTGAAGTTATAACAATTTAAAAACACAGTTAACCTACTTCTAGGAATGCAAAACATACAGTCATGTTATTTTCAATACAAGAAAACTTAATTTTGTTTTAATTTCTTAAAACTACGGAGACAAAGTACTAGCTTTACTTTATGTACAGCATATGCCTATGTAGTCTATCCCAAATCCAAAAAATGAAACTGTCCAAAAACAGAAGGTCTGCAAAATCATGATTTAACAGTGTTGCCCATCCTGCTGATAAACTGCTAAAATGAAGCCTAAAACGATAAAAAGCACTGTATCCCAAAACTATGTTTGGGAATTCTGCAAGCTCAGTAATGTCCAAGTGCATTTATGAGAAAAGGAAAAAAATAAAAGACTTGAGTATATACAAGAGTGATTCTTCAGCCCAATACAAATGGCAGCCAATCACTACTGAAGGATGAAACATTAAGCCAATTTTTGGAAGGATGTAGAGCTATAGCCAAATTCTATCTTGCCAATATTCCCACGCCCTCCTTATTTGTCTCATTTCCACTGTTGCCCATACGTATCCTGATAAAATTCCTGGTTGTCATTATTGTAACCATAGTTACCGGCATAGTCACCACCTTGCTGAAGCGGCTGCTGAGCGATTGGTTGGGAGCCCCAGTTCTGCTGGTTGTTGGTCTGGCGGCGTTTGGAATCCGGTTGGTTGTACCCATCGGCTTTTCTCTTGCCTCCCACGTTGCCCCCACGGTTGCCCCGGGCTCCACGAGCACCACGTCCTCTCTGTTGCTGGGCAGGACCCCCTCTCCCACCCCTGGCTCCTCTTGGCGGTCCCATGGGTGCCCCCCTCTGGGAATAGCCAGCTCTACCTCTTGGTGGTGGTGCTCCCCGCCCCCTAGGTGGTGGAGGTGCGCCTCGCCCACCCCTTCCTCCTCCTCTTCCTCTTATAGCATAGCCATCATCATAGCCATAGTAAGGATCTTCATAGCCACCACGGTAGTCATGATAGTCATAGCCATAATAATCATCGTAATAATCTTCATAGCCATAGTAATCTGGGGGATAGCCATAGCCGCCTCTCCCTCCACGACCTCGGCCTCTAATAGGAGGTGGCATACGAGGTGGAGGATAGTAATAATAATCTTCATACCTAGTGAGGAGGAGGAAAAGAGCATTAGCATTTATCTTGTGTGTTTTCCTAAGTTAAAAACTCCAGTTCAGGTAGAGTTCAGCATGCCAGGTTTAAGTAGATTTCTATTATGCTGATGTCAGCACAAAGCACTGTGTGCTACATTACAATTAATAAAGTTTACACTCACGCAGTACTTCTCGAGGCTTGTCTGGCAGCCTGGCGTTCTTTCCTTTTCTTATCTGGAGGCTTGGCTAACACTATTTCAATTTCTTCCCCCTCTATCTCTTTTCCATTCATTTCATTCATGGCCTGTTTTGAAGGGGAAAAAAGACGTTTAAATTCTATTTAAACGATACGGTGCTCCTTTAGGATGCCCATCTTTCTACCCCTCATGTCAACATTTCTTAAAGCCACAGTGTTCTCACTTTTACATTGTGTATCCTTGCATTTTACATATTAAAGATGCAAGCCCATGCACTTTTAGAACTTTTCCCAATTTGTACAGGGCTGCGCCCTGAGAGTTCTAAGGAGTGGTTACTAAGTTTCTACAGATGCATTTGAATCTGACTTGCAGTCTGGCAATTATCAGGCCCCTTGCACAGTGCTGTCTTCATGCCAGCATGCACACTTTCCTCTGACCTTGAAGAGCTACCCAGCTGTTGTTTTCAAACCAGGCACTGATCTAGAGGTTGCATGGCCTCTCGGGGGGGCGGGGGGGGAGTCTCCCTTCTAGCTTTGTGCTACAGTCAATACAGCACTGACATCCTCGCTCTTGCTCAGGCTTCTGCGAGCATGTAGACAGGATAGGAGGAAAATCTTGAGGGTCCATACATACATGGAGCAAAGGGAGCATGCCCTCCCCCAAATCTTTTATTTACAAGGCTCCATATGTTCTCTCATATACACAATATGAATAATGTATTGACAAATGTGCACTCTGCATTGTGGCAAGGAACAGCAAGCAGTTTTAAATAGAAGCAACAACCTGGATGAGCTAATACTACTACCCGGCAGTTACAGATCATTTCTGCGTCTTCAAACTACTCCATGTGGGGTCTATCACATTTTGCATGGCGCCCATGGCCACCTGACTTTCTGTGTGTGAGAACTCAGGTGGCAGAGGCTGAGAGTCATACAACCCTCAAATAACCCATGGCTTAATTCCCAAACAACCTCAGCTGCCTATGTTTACACATCCTTGAGTGTTTTGGTCCAAATTCCCTAAGATCCAGGGGAAATACATTTTTTTACTTGCCTTAACTGCTGCCCCCCTATCTTCAAAATGAACAAAAGCATAGTCTTTTAATTTCTTCACTCTTTCCAGCTTTCCAAATTCTGAAAATGATTTCTCCAATATTTCTTCTGTTACTGTAGTGGCTAAATTTCTTACAAACAGAACCTTCACCTGTTGAGAAAATTGGAATTTTGAAATCAGCTTCAAAAAGGACCCATTCAGAAACATTTCTTACTTTGGCTGAACTCCACTTCAATAGTGCAACGTTAGAATGTTCAGGTAAGAGGACACTGAAGTACAGCTAAAGACAGCAAAATTACTTGCTACTACTATCACAATAGGCATTCCAGTTCTATTTTTAAAAATGCATCCAAAACTGAAACTAGCAATTAAAAGTATAGAGCACCTTCCCCAATTTGGTGCCCTCCAGTTCTTTTAGACTTTAGTTCCATCACCCTCAGCAAATCTGGCCAATGATCAGCAATATATATAGTTCAAAAGATCTAGAGGGCATCTGATAGGGGAAAGGCTGATACTGATCCTTAACTGAAAGTTTCAATATTGGCTTCTGCTGAACCATTAAGCAAGCTTTTCATCAACCCTGGCTCTCAAGATTCCAGTTTGGCAATATAGACATACTTCTTTTCTGCTAGATTTTTAAAGCAGATACCCACAGAATAGAAGGCATTGGCCAGCAGATACTATTCCTTGTACCACATAGGTAAGAAGCATGGAGCGCAGCCGGAGCAATGTACTTCAGCCAGCCTCACCTTGATGAAGCTTAGGAAAACAAGGCTGTCTTACTCTCCATGTAAGAGAAGATGGTATGCTAATTCTAATTACGATGTTTAGAAACATTCACAAACTACTCAACATATGGAATGTCCAGGAAAATCTTTGTATGCAATTCACAAGACAGAAAATGCATCTTATTTAGTTATGACAGTTCATTATAGTTTAAGACTACAGAACTACAGCAGTTTTGTTCAACTGTTATGCCCTTTGAGTATAAAAGCAGAGTTCTAATTCCCAAAGGGGAAGGTGCCACTTGTATTTCAGTGACAGCCAGAGGCAGTGGGGGAATCAAATCTGGTTCCAGAAAGGCAAACTGTAATGGAAAATTGCAAGTATAGCTTCTGCTTTGTTACCTTTGCCATGACCTCTGGATCTGGCTCCTCTACTGGGTCAGCCCACTCCACAGTAACAATATTTCCCCAAACTTTTACTTTCCCACTCATCAGCCGACGCCGGGCTTGAGCTGCTGATTTGTGGTCCTCATATTCCAGGAAGCAGAATCCCCGATTCTTTTTTTTGTCATCAGGTTGATGATACAAAATTACATCAACCAAACCCTCTGTAAGAATAAGAATTCATGCATCACATGTAAAGACTAAAATCTTTCTAGCTTGAAAAGCTAA